GAGGGAGGGAGGGAGGGAGAGGGAGAGGGAGGGAGGGAGAGAGAGGGAGAGGGAGAGAGAGGGAGAGAGAGACAGAGAGACAGAGACAGAGACAGATAAACAAACAGACCAGGTAAGTTAGAAAGAGAGATATGGACAAACAGAAACAGAAACAAATACACACACACACACACACACACACACACACAGCCAGAAAGGTTGAATATTGATACTGTTGCTAGGGGGAGTCGCCACGGGGGGTAGTGGAGAGGGAGGGGGAAGGGGGAGGGGGGGAGGGGGGCAAGAGAGAGGGGAGGGGGAGGGGGGGCTAGAGACAAAGATCCGTCTTGTCTTAAGAAAGCAATGAGTTAAACACTAGGCTCTGCATATGATTATCTTCAATGTTCTTTTTCTTCTGTGTCTAGATGTCCCCACTCGTTGATGCAATAATTATAAAGATTAATGCAAATAATTTCTGCATTTTATCATTATTCCTGAAATATGTTTTGGTATGATTCTTATCAGTGCTATTTTTGATATTATGCATGCTAATATCAATGCTGTTATCATTGTTACTGTTGTTGTTATTATTATCATTATTTCTATTATTATTATTGTTATTATTATTATTATTATTATCATTATTATTATCATTAGCATTATTATTATTATTATTATTATTACTATTATTATTATTATTATTATTATTATTATTATTATTATTATTATTATTATTATCATTATTATTATTATTATTATTATTACAATCGTTATTATTGTTATTATTATTATTGTTATTATTATCATGATAATAATAGTAATAATAATAACAATAATAATACTGATAATGATAATAATAATAATGATAATGATAATAATGATAATGACAATAACAGTGATAATGATTATAATGATAGTAATAATGATGATAGTAATAATAATGAAAAAGTATAATAACTATTATCAATATTATTTTATCATTATCATTATATTGATATCATAACAATAACAGTAATAATGGAAGTGATAATGATAATGATAGTAACAACTATAATAATAGTAATGATAAGAATAATAGTAATAATGACATTTTTTTAAGTATTATTAGTAGCAGTAGTAGTATCAGTTTCATTGTTATCCTTATTATTATTTTCATTATTATTATTATTATTATCATTATTGTTACTAATATTATCAGAAGGGAAGAATATGAATTTTACTCTCTCTTTCTTTGTCTGTTTGTCTGCATGTCTGTCTGTCTGTCTCTCTCTCTCTCTCTCTCTCTCTCTCTCTCTCTCTCCTTCGTTCTCTCCTTCTCTCTCTCTCTCTCTCTCTCTCTCTCTCTCTCTCTCTCTCTCTCTCTCTCTCTCTCTCTCTCTCTCTCTCTCTCTCTCTCTCTCTCTCTCTCTCCTTCGTTCTCTCCTTCTCTCTCTCTCTCTCTCTCTCTCTATCTCTCTATCTCTCTATCTCTCTATCTCTTCTACTTTCTCTCCTTCTCTCTCTCTCTCTCTCTCTCTCTCTCTCTCTCTCTCTCTCTCTCTCTCTCTCTCTTCTCCCACTTCCTCTCTCTCTTCCTCCCTCCTATCCCACCCCCCTTAAAAAGAAAGAAAGAAAAAGAAAATGAAAGAGAGAGAGAAAAAAAGAAAAAAAACACCAAAATAATAACCGATGAAATAATAATAAAGAACAACATAACGACAGAATACAAAATAGATAAATAAATAAATAAATAAATAAATAGATAAAAAGGAAGATATTCGAAGGGAAAAAATCGCTGGAGCACGTGGCTTGTGGGCGGGGCATCTTGGGTACACATGTACCGAGGCGAGGACACGTGCACTCTGCGTGAGACTGGTTGAGGAGTAACACATTTAAATTATCTTTATTGGTATTATTATTACCATTATTTTTTTCTCTCTTTTTTTCTTTTTTTTTGTCTCTCTTTTTTCTGCTGTTGTTATTTTTAGGGTTTGTTTTTTATGGCTTATAAAATTATCTGTCTGTTTTCTACTTATTTCCTTTTTTATTTTCTTTCTTTCTTTTAGTTTTCTTGGTCAAGATTTTTATCATTTCGTGTTATTACGTTTTCTAATTTGTATTTTCCTCACCTTCGTTCTCTTTTTCGTTATCTTCATTATCTTCTTTATTACCATCATCTTCATCTTTCTTCTTCTTCATCATCCTCACCTTCTACTTCTTCTTCTTCTTGTTCCTCTTCTTCTTCTTCTTCTTCTTCTTCTTCATCTTCTTCTTCTTCTACTGTTACTACTTCTTCTTCTTCTTGTTCCTCTTCTTCTTCTTCTTCTTCTTCTTCTTCATCTTCTTCTTCTTCTACTGTTACTACTTCTTCTTCTTCTTCTTCTTCTTCTTCTTCTTCTTCTTCTTCTTCTTCTTCTTCTTCTTCTTCTACTGTTACTACTTCTTCTTCTTCTTCTTCTTCTTCTTCTTCTTCTTCTTCTTCTTCTTCTTCTTCTTCATCTTCTTCTTCTTCTACTGTTACTACTTCTTCTTCTTCTTCTTCTTCTTCTTCTTCTTCTTCTTCTTCTTCTTCTTCTTCTTCTTCTTCTTTTACTTCTACTTCCTTTTCTTCTTCTTCTTCTTCTTCTTCTTCTTCTTCTTCTTCTTCTTCTTCTTCTTTTTCTTCTTCTTCTTCTTCTTCTTCTTCTTCTTCTTCTTCTTCTTCTTCTTCTTCTTCTTCTTCTTCTTCTTCTTCTTCTTCTTCTTCTTCTTTTACTTCTACTTCCTTTTCTTCTTCTTGTTCCTCTTCTTCTTCTTCTTCTTCTTTGTCTTCTTCTTCTTCTTCTTCTTCTTCTTCTTCTTTCCTCCCTTTCTTTACATTCATCATTACCACTACTCCTCACTTTTCCCCCTTTTATCTAATCATCACATATAATACCTCCTTCCCCTTTCATTCCTTCCCTCTCTATACCTCCCCCCCCCCCCCCCCCGTGACTAAGCCTACACACCAATAAGCATCAGGTTTTTTTTCTTAACACTATCGCCTAGCCACAGCACACACATAGGCCTATACATACATATATATATATATATATATATATATATATATATATATATACGTTTTTTTTTTGCTCTTTTTTTTCACGGGTGCCACAGATGCCTATAGACTAGAGCCACTTAGAAGCTAAGGTCGGTGCCAGACTATTCATTATAATAGGCACCCGTGGTAGAGCATAGCCTACGGAGCTAAATATAAAAGGGCTAGTGATAATGCTGTTAAAGATGGTGTGGGGGGTGGGGTGGGGGGGGAGGGGGTGAACCGTAGATGTGGGAAGGAATAAGATTATGGATATAAAATGATTTTAATGATGGTAATGATGATAGTAATGATGGAAAGAGTGGTGATTATAGTAATAATAATGACAATGATGATAATGGTAATAATGATAATTATTATGATG